GTCTAGTTGTTGTATAAATAGTCAAAGCTTATATTATCACTTAGCACTTTACTCTGCTTTTAGATTGCACTTTCTTGATCACTTTTACCACTATCTGACTGTATCCTGCCAACCACCTCGCTGTACTGCTGATGTCCGGGGGCGACTCTAGGTGTTGTGGAGCTGTACTGGGATGATGGTGGTGTGTCAGAGGACTCTATCGGTTTTGTCGGTGGAGAAATTTCTTTGTGTGAATTGATTGAGTATAGTTGGGTATTGGACAATGAAATGTTTGTTGAGTCTTCATTGGACAAGAGGCGTATCAAGGTTAGAACAGAGTTCCTAGTTTAGTCCATTAATTAGTCTTCTTGCCGATGATTGTTTGTAGGTAATAATATCTACATCTGCTCCTGTCTCTTGACGAAATTGCACAATTTTTTAAATTAAATGTTTGGTTGGGACTACATCTCTAACACATCCAAGAGGAAAGCAAATTAGCCGTCGTAACTTTTTTTCCTGAAAGCTCTTAGCAAGCTGTTTGAAGGCTTCGTCATAGTCTTTTTGAACTGGTTTTCCAGGCTAGCTTGGTGACCAAACCATATACTCCAGCACCATTTTCAACTTGCTGATAAATTAGATGGTCATCGACACAGTCGCAAGTAGTTGGTTTGCCAAATTCTTTTTTGAATTTCACAGCCACACCAGCTGACATTTGTCTTCATGTCCAAAGTCGCCAGAAATGCAATGTGCAAATGCAACTGTTGAGTCCCCTTGTTTTTCCCTCAACACTTGAGTCATGTCTTTATCAATTGGGGTAGATAAAGAGTCTGTAGATTTTCTTCACTTTTTCCAGCTATGCCTGATGTTTTGTTTATGATTTGGATAACAGTAGTTGCCACATAGGTTTTCCCTCTACGATTTAGATGAAAACCATGCCGTGTGTGATGGTATGTTTTTAAAAGCCACAGATCAAGTAGGTGTGCATTGGGATATTTATATGCAAGTTTTCTTATTAGATTGTTCACCGTTACCAATGCTTCTTGTTTAAAATCATTATGGCCGAGGTCATAGCAATACGGGATTGTAGATATAATAATGTTCGTGTTTTCACAGTTTTTAATTTTATTTTCAAGAGTATTCACAAAATTCTTGGTACACTGATCAACCAAATGTGCATTACTTAAATTTGAATTTGCCAAGTCATTACAACAACCTATAACTAAGATCCAATCTTCTTTACCGTAGTTTTTCATACCTAGATTGTTTTTCATTGGTTCAACCACTTGGTCCAAACACATTCAAGCGTTTGCCTATTGTTCCATCTAAGTAGTTACTCAGGTCCTTACCTTGGCTGTCAGCAAACAAAAGAAAAGCTTTTTTATTAGAGTCTTTTTTTTATTGCCTTATTTATTATTGACGGTCTTATGTTGATGTATTTGCAAAGGAGAAATTGTGGTAGGTGTCATTGCTGAGTTATCCTGCACTTCTTCTGATAAACATTCAAAGTGGTTTCTACATGGTATGGTGCCGTTAGGAGGGTTGGTAAAAATTCTCTTACAACTCTTTGGTCCGCCTGACTTCCCTGAGACTGTTGTCCAAGGTTCTTTTCTTATGCTATGATTTGCTGGAGTTGTAGGTCTTTGTGGTGCTATATTTTCATTACTATTTACATTATGTAAATTGCCTTGCTTTAGCATCATAGCAGTTATTGTTTTTAATGTGACACTTAGTTGGGAAATATTATTAATCAATATTGCCAGTTGACCTCTCTTTTTCAACAAGTAACTCTCAGTTATGATCGGCAGAAGTGATTTCCAGTGTTCATGAGGCTTATTCTGCAAGATGAGTTGAACTATGACATCTGTGTATAGCAGTACAGTAGACCCTCTCTAATCCGGCATTGCGCCACTCCGGCACTCCAGTAATCCGGCGTCTTTTGACGGGTGAGGTCTTCCGCGATCGCGGCAAAATCAAGAACATCTCTCGCGACCGTTCAGACATTATCATCACCTCCCACAGTCACGGAAACGTCAAGGTCGTCATGCCCGATCGCGGCAATAGCGGTTTCCGATCGTGTGATCTTCGGAAATGTGTTTTAAGTTCATTGTAAGTGTTTTTATTGCTAACAATCAAAAAACATGTTTCAACAAGTTCAACACTGTTTTGTGATGATCTCCCTACCAAGTGAGATTAATAACCTTGTGACTTAAATAACTAAACTGATTTAATTAATCGCATGTAGAATAGTTTGTAACTGTAAATTAAATCAAATGTACCATCCATGCCAGGAAATTTGAGATTCTGCGTGTCTCAAATTGTAGGCTACTGTACTTGAGTTTTGATAACCATGAAAAAGATTGTTTCACAACAATAATTTTTTTTTATTCATTGCTCCCTGCTGTATCAAAAGTATATGAGAAAGCAATGTACTTTAGATTGGTAGATTATTAGATTGGTATCTTGAAGCAAATAAGTTATTTGATAATGCTCAACATGGTTTCAGAAATGGAAGATCAGTATTAACAGCAGCAACTGACTTCATTGAGTCCATTGTAGAATCAATTGAAAACGGTGAAAATGTTCTAGGGATATACATGGATCTCTCTAAAGAATTTAATAGTGTGGGTCATTCAATTTTGCTAGAAAAACTGGAGAGTCTTGGAATAGTGGGAGTCCCCTTAAAATGGTTTCAATCTTATTTGGATGGTTGGATGCAATTTGTTGAAATAAAATCAAACAAAAACAATTATTTAACTACATTTAATTCTCATAAATTAAGGGGGGGGTGCCACAGGGTTCATTTTTGGGACCAATTTTGTTTTTATGTTATATAAAAGAATTGCCTAAAATTATTGTTAATCCTCAAAAGAGTAAGATTTGTTTATATGCAGATGATTCAAATTTAACAGTGGTGGGGAAAGGTAAAGATAAGTTGGAAATTTCGGCCTTTGTAGAATTGTTTAATACACAGCAATTTCTAAAAAAATAATATTCTGAACCTTAATACAACATTAACAAAAACAAACTTCATTTCTTTTTCGACTAAACAAAGTGAATATAAACTTGAACCCAATTTCAACATTGATTCAGAATCAATAGGACAACTTTCTGAAGCCAAACTTTTAGGTCTCTATGTAGATGAACATCTAAGTTGGAATAAAAACGTTGAAAAATTATTAAAAAAGCTTAATTCTGGAGTGTACGTATTGAAAAGAATGTCTTATTTGTGCAATTTAGATGCAGTCAAAAAAATATATTTTGCCCATATTCATTCTCACATTGGACTGTATGGGACAACTACAAATAAAAATTTAAATGAAATTCTAACCAAGCAAGAAAAAGCCATTAGAACTATGTTCCACCTTAAAAAAGATGAATCAGTTAAATTTCACTTTAAAAATATAAATATGTTAACAGTTTTTGCAGCTTATAAGTCATAAGTCATAAGTATTTTATTGCATAAAACATTCTTCATTACAAAGGCAATGGTGAACAGATGCATGGTCAATCAATAAGTTGTAAAAACTAAAAGTAATAAGTTACAACAAAATACAACAAGAACAGCGCAATTGAGAGAAAGTTACCAATTCAAACAAGTTAGAAAAAAGACAAATTTAAATGAAGATCTTGAAGCCATATCAGAGAAAAAAACATTCTGTGTCATATTTTACATAAACTAATGGTCAATTAATGTCACGGTCATTTAGGAAATCTACCAGGAAGTAATATGATTTCTCCACCAATAATGATTTAGTCCAAATTTTACATTTTTGTGGTGTATAGGATTTTATTTTTGAGGGGATCTTATTATATAGACAAATCCCCCTATAGATGGGGTTTTTTTCAAAATGAGAGTGTTTATGAATTGGATAATTTAGCAGATTTGGGTTTCGGGTATTATAACTATGAGTGGGTCTAAATTCATCAAAAAGTGTATTATTTAAATGAACAAAATTTACTGTTTCATAGATGTACAAAGAGGTCAATGGCATTATTTTTAATTCCTTAAAAGAACGACGACAGCTTGATCCATATTCTGCCCCTATCATCACTCTAATAATACTTTTTTGGACTTTAAAAACTTTGCTAATATCCCCTAATATCCCCCTTATACTTTTGAAATAGCAAGTATAGCTAAAAGAGACAGCATAAAATATGAGCCAGTTGTGTCACATAGTTACAAGACATCAAAAGGATATTGTAACTTCAACCTATAAGCTGGAATTCTCCAAAAAGAAACCGACTTTTGCTGGATCACTAATTCTAAAGAAATTGCCTGCCTCTATAAAAGAGGAATCAAAATATAAATTATTTAAAGCTAAATTTAAAAAAATCATTTAATAGGAAAGGCGCTTTATACAATGGAAGAACTCATTGAATAAATATTCATACTTAAAATGTATTTATTTATATCTAGGCTAGTTTAGTACTGTTACTTTATACTTGACACTATTTTTGTACCCATGTACATGTAAAGAAAATAAAGATGTTTTGATTTGATTTGATTTTATTTGATCGTGGCAATTTCACCCGTAAATTATTTTCTTAAATTATTTTTACGATATGTTCTGTTTTAGGCGTGTTAAAATTAGGTGCCCCAACCAATGTCTCCGGTTGGGAACATAAGAGTGGATTTAACGACGTATCTAGAACGGATTCACGTTTACACTATTAAACTGCCAGATATTGTCTTACCGACAGTTGTGTATAATTGTTTTGTCTGCATTTTTGGAAAATGCATCCAGGCCTACTTGATATACAAACAAACTGCTGTTCAGAATATAAAAAGGTTCCAACTAACAACAAGATCCCTGTCCTTAGAACAGGCACACTGCTATATAGTACTGTTCTACATTGTACCGTAGATTTAAAATTCCATTGTACCTCAAATTCCATTTAGGCCTTTTACAAGTGATGAGATTAAGCTGATTATTGCAGGGTCTGTATTACCGAGGGCTGAAATATAGAGGTTTTATTGTCATTTACATCAATTATAAACAGAAAATATTGACTTATCTTACCCATAAGTAATATGTAAACTGAAGTGCAAAAATGGCAATGCCTTCATTGTCGTAACTGCCAGCGACTGAGCGACTGATGTATCCAGGAACAATAGCTATGAAGCAGGCTGCAAACAAACCAGCACCAGCACTCCACAGTTCCTTGGTCAGCAGGTAGGTGGAGATAGCTGTGAGTCCACTGTCAACCGAATACAACAAAACAAATTACAACTACAACACATAAACAAACCAGCACCAGCACTCCACAGTTCCTTGGTCAGCAGGTAGGTGGAGATGGCTGTGAGTCCACTGTCAACCAAATACAACAAAACAAATTACAACTACAACACATAAACAAACCAGCACCAGCACTCCACAGTCCCTTGGTCAACAGGTAGGTGGAGATGGCTGTGAGTCCACTGTCAACCGAATACAACAAAACAAATTACAACTACAACACATAAACAAACCAGCACCAGCACTCCACAGTTCCTTGGTCAGCAGGTAGGTGGAGATAGCTGTGAGTCCACTGTCAACCGAATACAACAAAACAAATTACAACTACAACACATAAACAAACCAGCACCAGCACTCCACAGTTCCTTGGTCAGCAGGTAGGTGGAGATGGCTGTGAGTCCACTGTCAACCAAATACAACAAAACAAATTACAACTACAACACATAAACAAATTAGTTCCAACACTCCACAGTCCCTTGGTCAACAGGTAGGTGGAGATGGCTGTGAGTCCACTGTCAACCAAATACAACAAAACAAATTACAACTACAACAGGGTGTATACTATTTTATTAAAGTGAAATTCCCGGATTTTTCCAGGTTTTTTCCTGGTTTTTCAAAGTTTTTCCAGGTTTCCGCGTATCTGTTTGGTTCCACATAAACTATAATCAATTTAAGACTTGCAGCTTAAGTATACAATATACATCAAATTTGTTTCAAGTCCAGTAAGCTAGTGTTGAAAAAATAATAATCCTTACTAAGTAATAATTTTCATTATCATCATTACTTAAGGCCATGGAAACATCGTCTCACTCAATGGCAGCAAAATCCTAAATATTATCTTCATTTTTTATGAACACATTATCAACGGCGGCAAAATCCTGAATATTTCCTGCGGTCGTGTGGTCGCTTCCCACAGTGACGTAAAAGTAATCACAGTCTTACGTTATCATAGAAAAATCCTGGACATCTCCCGCGGTATGTATACATTATCGCCGTCTCTCGCGATCACGGAAACGTAATCATCGTCATCCGCAATCGCGGCAAAATAACGAAAATGTTCCGAGGCCGTGTAGACACCATCATTGACTCCCGCGGTCACGGGAACGTCATCGTTGTCGTCCTCGATCTCGGCAAAATCATGAAAATTTCCCGCGGCAGTGTAAACATCATCGTTGGTCCCGCGGTCACGTAAACGTCATCGTCGTCGTCCGCGATCGCGGCAAAATTATGAACATCTGCGGCCGTGTAGACATAATCATCGTCGTCTTTCGCGGTCACGGCAAATCACTAATATCTTCCCCGGCCGTGTAGACATCATCATTGAAGTCACGGAAACGTCATTGTCGTTGTCCACGATCTCGGCAAAATCATGAATATTTCCCGCGGCCGTGTCTACATTATCGTCGTCTCTCGCGGTCACGGAAACGTCATCGTCGTCGTCCACGATCTTGGCAAAATAATGAATATTTCCCGCGACAGTGTAAACATCATAGTTGATCTCGCGGTCACGGAAATGTCATCGTCGTTTCCCGCGGTCACAGAAACGTCATTGTCGTCGGCCGCAATCACGGCAAAATCATGAGCATATCACGCGGCTGTGTAGAAATCATCATCGTCGCCTTTCGCGGTCACGGCAAATCACGAAAATCTTCCGCGGCCGTGTAGACATCATCATTGCCTCTCGCAATTATGGAAATGTCATCGCCGTCATCCGCGATCTCAGCAAAATCATAAGCATCTGCGGCCGTGTAGACATAATAATCGTCGTCTCCCGCGGTCACGGAAACGTCATCGTCGTCGTCCGCGATCTCGGCAAAATCATGAATATTTCCCGCCGCAGTGTATACATCATCGTTGATCCCGCGGTCACGTAAACGTCATCGTCGTCTCCCGCAGTCACGGAAACGTCATCGTCGTCGGCCGCAATCGCGGCAAAATCATAAGCAACTGCGGCCGTGTAGACATAATAATCGTCGTCTCCCGCGGTCACGGAAACGTCATCGTCGTCGTCCGCGATCTCGGCAAAATCATGAATATTTCCCGCCGCAGTGTATACATCATCGTTGATCCCGCGGTCACGTAAACGTCATCGTCGTCTCCCGCAGTCACGGAAACGTCATCGTCGTCGGCCGCAATGGCGGCAAAATCATGAGCATTTCACGCGGCCGTGTAGAAATCATGTATCGTCGATTTTTGCGGTCACGGCATATCATGAAAATCTTCTGCGGCCGTGTAGACATCATCGACTCCTGCGGTTAGGGAAACGTAATCGTCGAGGTACGCGATCACGGCAAAATCATGAATATTTACCGCAGCCATGTAAACATGATTGTCGTCCCCAGTGGTCACGGAAACGTCTTCGTCATCTCCCGCGGTCACGGAAACGTCATCATTGTCGTCCGCAATAGCGGCAAATCATGAACATTTCCCGCGGACGTGTAGATGTCATTGTCGTATCCTGCGGTCACGGAAACATCATCGTCGTCTCCCGCGGTCACGAAAACGTCATCGTCGTCGCCCGCAATCGCGGCAAGACGCATTTTATGACTACAATCTTCTACCGGGGCTAAAATAAAAATCCCGGAATCGGTCCAAAAATCCTGGCTATTCCCCGTTTTTTCCAGGTCCCTTTAAATTCGAGGTTATTTCCCGGTTCTCCCGGTTGGTATACACCCTGTACAACACATAAACAAACCTGCACCAGCACTCCACAGTTCCTTGGTCAGCAGGTAGGTGGAGATGGCTGTGAGTCCACTGTCAACTAAATACAACAAAACAAATTACAACTACAACACATAAGCAAACCAGTTCCAACACTCCACAGTTCCTTGGTCAGCAGGTAGGTGGAGATGGCTGTGAGTCCACTGTCAACTAAATACAACAAAACAAATTACAACTACAACACATAAACAAACCAGCACCAGCACTCCACAGTTCCTTGGTCAGCAGGTAGGTGAAGATGGCTGTGAGTCCACTGTCAACTAAATACAACAAAACAAATTACAACTACAACACATAAACAAACCAGCACCAGCACTCCACAGTTCCTTGGTCAGCAGGTAGGTGAAGATGGCTGTGAGTCCACTGTCAACTAAATACAACAAAACAAATTACAACTACAACACATAAACAAACCAGCACCAGCACTCCACAGTTCCTTGGTCAGCAGGTAGTCGGAGATGGCTGTGAGTCCACTGTCAACTAAATACAACAAAACAAATTACAACTACAACACATAAACAAACCAGCACCAGCACTCCACAGTTCCTTGGTCAGCAGGTAGTCGGAGATGGCTGTGAGTCCACTGTCAAGCAAATACAACCAAACAAATTACAACTACAACACATAAACAAACCAGCACCAGCACTCCACAGTTCCTTGGTCAGCAGGTAGGTGAAGATGGCTGTGAGTCCACTGTCAACTAAATACAACAAAACAAAGTACAACTACAACACATAAGCAAACCAGTTCCAACACTCCACAGTTCCTTGGCCATATAGCAAGTCAGTGAAATAAACTGTGGTAAATAATTAAAAGTATAGGTTTAAAAACAAAACACAATTGTTAAGTTTTCTTAACAAACCAAGGAATAAAATCAAAAGATATTGAAAAGGTACCAGATTATTTAATAGTTTAATTAATCAATATCCAGAAGTACGGTAAGAAAATAAACTCTGAGGCCTACTTTAACTCAAAGTAACCTAAGTATGACATATGTAAGGTAAGCCTAATAATGAGAAATCAGAACTGTATTGCCAAAAACAAAAATGTATAGACCATCGTCAGGTACAATTGATATATATATTCCTATAAAATGTGAAACCCTCCCTTACTGACTGACTGACTCACTCATCACTAATTCTCCTGCTTCCCATTTACCTAGGAGGCTGAAATATGGTACACTGTTTCTTTAACCCTTTCAGTGGTAGGCCAATAATTCGTATTTCGTAAGGCTTTTTTGTTTGCCTTTCAATTCCATTACCTGTGTTGTTGAATTTTAACTGTAATGTTGTCACTATTTTATTAATTAGGTTAATTTTTAGTAACAAGACAATAAGAAAATATATAACAAAGATAAATCCCGGTATTTGTAGTAAACATTAAATAAAACTTAGTTGTAATTTTCCTGGTTTTCCTATACATTTTTATGTTCTAATAGCATTGTTTGAAACCAAAAACGCATAAAATCAAAAGACATATAGTTTACAATGTAATATTGAATTTAACTTCGATTTAGTTGGACGAGGTTATCGTAATATAGCCATTTTAGGGAAAATAATGTTTTGCAGCAAAGTCTCAGGAGCGCATTTATGATCAATGTTGTGTTTCAACTGAAAAATATCATCTAAATAGTCTGTGACTAACTAGTGCTGCTACCTAGTAACGCATTGAACAACCATCTGTAGCGCTATCTGTTCGCAATCGGTGGCGTCAGCTTAAATACCGGTTTTTGACTCCTCAGTCTTCAAGCACAGATAGCCGAGAAGGCTAGGGCGTGTGTCACTTGGCCAGTGGCATTCGTCTGCTCGGGTTCGATTCCCGTCCTGTGTGGAAAATAATTGGTGACCTGTGTGTTTGTAGAGATATACTACAACCACTGGGGCATAGTGAGGTGTTCATAATCCTTGGTTTAAACATACACCTCGAAATCATCGGATTGGGCGAATCTTTTAGCTAAGTGGTTGTTAGTGTATCCTATGAACATGCAGGTCACGAATGGCCGTTTTGCTACTTTTTGTTAAAATAACCTTCCTCTCTATGTCCCTTAGAGATTTTTTAAAACAACGATATATCGTTTCATAGCACTGAAAGGGTTATGCATTAAATAGGAAAACTAAGTAGTTTTTACTCTCATCTGTGGCTCTGGAGTTTCCCATGTTAACCTTATGATTATTCACATTTAAAAAGAATTAAAGCATCTTAATAGCTGTTTCAGTTAAACAAGTGAGTTTTGTGCATCTGTTCAATAGCATTATAAAGTGGCAAAATATACCAACAGGGTGGAGCACTATTAATTTTTTTTTAATGTATAACAACAGCTAACTTGAATGAATTGTTTTTTGTAGAAACCCCATGATCAACAAATTTTTTTAATTTTTTATTTTGACTTTTTAGAATAGCCTATTACTGATGAACAAATTGGAATAGGTACATCATTGGGTGCAGAAATCACACAACTGCAAAAAAATAAAAAAATTTGGTTATGGAGTTTCTGCAATATTCAAAGAACTAAGAAGCAACAAGCTGTGATACACAATGTGAACCGTCAAATTTGGATTGTTTAAAGTTATGTTTACATTTTAAATTAAATAAATAATTTGTAGTACCTATTGAGTGAATAGCGTAATTTTAATTTTTAAGTGCAGAACTTACCATATTGACTTAATTTTTCCAAAATGTTTATAAAAAGTATTGTGTTTGTTTTCTCCCAAAGAAATTTCTGGGAAACGGATTAGCAAGTTAATAATTTTAGTGCATTAGCCTACTGATTAAGTCATTGACTTGGATGGATGGAACTAATATTATAGATATATTAATGTTTGGAGTATGTCAATAACGTGAAAACTACTTGATCAATTGAGCTGATTTTTTGTCTCATTAGTAGAGCCAATAACCACAGGCTTAAAGGACATAGGCCTAGTCAAACATTTTATTTTAATACTCTACTAGTCCTCCACCCTGACAACTTATAAGTAAAATTTTGTTTTCCAATGTAACCATGAAAAGACTTTCAAAATGCCATCCAAACTGGTACGGCAATCAACAGTTTTATTAAAACCTATGAAGTCAAACGGGGCAAAGCTCGCGGGTAACAGCTACCTAGTATAAAGTATAAAAGTTAGCAAACATAAAGTGCTTGTCTTAACAAAATGTTTAAGCAGTCTTTAAAACTTGGACAGTCTTGATGACAATAAGAGTACTGTAATTGTTGCATTGTTGTGTGCAAGTAAAAATAGGCCATGCTCAATGTATCAATACAACATTACCTGAATATGGGAGCTAGGAAGACACAAATGTCCCTGATGTGAACAGGAATGTTGAGTGTGTGAAGCACATAGTGTATAGCACCTGATGTTATCATAAGACCAGGATACACTGTACCACCTACAATTCGGCCCAGAGGATACCAGGCTCTTTCGTCAAACCAGTTGAGGAAATTGTAGAATCCATGTTGGACCATGTAAGCCGTAGCTCTGTAGTTGAACCTAAAAATGTTGAAAATATGTAAGTTGCATATAGTTTTAGTTGAACCTAAAAATGTTGAAAGAATTTAGCTTAAATTGAAATAATTAAAGCTTATCCCACAACAAATTTTTAAACCCCATCATATGTTTATAGCCTATTGTAAAAAAATCAACAATAAGGTTAACTTTTGTGTATACTTGAGAAGGTTTTAGGTATTCCATTTGCAGAGATTGTATAGGTCAGCTGCTTAGAAAGCGACCTCCTCTTACATGCGCGATAAATCCTTGCGCAGGTCGCTGTACGGCCGAACAATAACTTAGTGAAAACTATTCTATTAACAGCAAATCAACATACTATTAAGGCCTACTACCATCAGGTTTATAATGAATAAAAAGTGTTTTCCTACAGTCACCCGACAAAGTTGGCTTCCTTGTACTGTTTATAGTAAAGAAAGCTGCTAATTGCTGCATATTTATACTTTGCCGCACATCAGGATTCCAACGAAACAACACAAAACAGCGTGGTTCTATTATGCACGTAATCCGTGTACGCTTGGAAATAGGTTGGCAACACTTAAAGATAATAATACTATGAGCAGCTGATTGACTATTATAACTACGATTTAACCTGTCATTTTGTGTTTATAGTTTCGGTATTTCTGAACTTTCTAGACTTTTCTTTTAAATGTTTTTCAAACATTTCTACGATCTTAATAAACAAGAAAATACCTTTAAAGCATTTTTTTAGGCGCGGTAGCCACTTCAAATTACAAAAACATACGGAACTATATTCTCAAAACGCGGAGCACATTTCTTGTCTAAAGTCGAGGAAAAATAGCGGAGTGATACGGACCGCGGGTACTACTTTCTCTAGGGCACCATTTGTGTTGCCAGCTGAACCTAAAAACGTGTTGTATGGTGTTTGAAAGACTAATTATTTATATGCTTTATAGTGACTGTAGGAAAAATATAATGTGTAACACGAGTGCAAAAGGCCTTTGCTGCACTCGAGATCATTCCGTGTGCAGCAAAGTGCCACTTTGCCCACTAGTTACACAAATAACTATTGTGGTGTTTATGTTAGTGAATTTGCAGACAATAGTTGTTTGAATTTTTCACTTTGTGGCAATGCTGTTTTAACATTTAAAGATTAGGCCTATTTGACTTAGGCTACCAGTATATAAGTTGTTGACCAGTGTCCATTGACAGTTGCCATATGTGACGCGCAACTTAGTTGGTCGACGGGCAACTCAGACGGCTGGGCCCTTTTAGTGTTTTATAATTTATATTGCTTGCTCATTGTGTGATAAACGTTGCATTAATTAGTGGAATTTTTTTATCTTTATTATTACAAACTATCCAGGCAATAACATTTCATAAGTTGGGTACCGTAGCCTACCTATTCTTTATACAGTAAGTGGGAAAAAGGTCAACCATCAAATCTCAGTAGGAAATAGCCCCTTGAAACAGGTATCAACATTTAAATATTTAGGCTCAGTTATCGCAGAAAACGGAAAAATAGAACAAGAAATAAACAGAAGGGTTGCAGCAGCAAGTCGCCTCTTCTGGTGCATAAGAAACCAATTTCTAGGTAAGAAAGAAATCTCAAAGAAAACCAAATTAGCAGTCTATAAATCTACCTTCATGCCTACCTTGACCTATGGATGTGAATCCTGGACTTTGACCAAAAGACTCAAAAGCAAGCTCCAAGCAATGGAGTTGAGGTATCTTAGAAAAGTAGAGAACAAAACTATAAGGGATAGGATAAGGAATGTTGCAATAAGAAACACTTTAGATGTTAAGCCCTTAACTACCACAATACAGGAACAGCAACTAAAGTGGTTTGGACTTGTTCATCGTATGCCCACAACTCGGCTTCCGAAGATGATGAAAGGGGTCAAAGTCGAGGGAAAGTGCAAGAGAGGTAGACCGTGAAGGAAATGGGAGGAAGAGATAGAGGATGCTCTGCGTGAGAGGGGCAGCTCCATTCGTGAAGCTCTACCACTCACTACAGACAGAAAGTCATGGAGGCGCCTTGTAACCTCGACACCAACCGGTAGAAGAGGACAGGATTAAGTAAGTAAGTACCTATCCTTTATTTTAACAACAGGATATTATAATTCTTAATGTCTAGCCTATAAACAAATTAACTAGATTAGTCTTAAAGGTCGGATTTTTTTAATTTGTAGTAAACGGTAGTTCTACACGTTAAAGCCAAAGAGTAGGAAGGCCTAATTAAGATTCTATAAAAATATTATGTAGGCCTAGCTGCTACATTTTTAAATTGTTTACTTCGTAGCCTAGGCTAATGTATTTGTAGCCTGTTTATAATATGTTAGGGTAATAGTAGGTATAATTAAGAATTAGTCTGGAAATATAGGTTTATACTGGATGAGTAAGTGTTACGGTCGTTTCTGTGCGGGAGTACCGTACGAGTGGGGCCAACTGTAAACACGTTTTGAACGAGTGTTGACGATATTTTTTGCCACTACTAAGGTGCTCTGAACTTGTAGACTATATTTTTGCCATTAAGTTACTACCCTAAACTAACCTAACATTAATAATACTCCCCTCCTCCCACAGCAAACTACAGTAGAGTCTCGCAAACTCTGCACTCGATAACCTGGCAGTCTGGATAACTGGGCCATCACCTGGCTCAGAAAATAAGTGATTTTTAGAGTATGATTCAAACATGGGCTCAAGCCAGCTCAAGTCAAATCATTTGCATCTCGTACCAAGGATTTGTTGTACTATATCCGATGACTTAATACTGACTTGTAATATAAATACAAATAAAAAAGGCGGTTGAAAGCTTAAAAATTGTTTTGTTTTTATTTTTAACCCTAGTTCCCGATAACGGCATTTCACAAACTCGGCACCCTTCCAGCCGAGTTTGCAGGACTCTACTGTTGCAGACTAACAGCTCTTTCACATGAGGACGTTAGATGCCGCGTTGAGCGCACGTTTGAAAAATGTGGAACCGTAGCCTACACCTGACAGCGGTAGACACGGCGTTAGTTGAACCAGTCTCTACTCCAGTGCGACCATTGAGCTAGAAGCTCCCTGCAAACGTAGCGTTTAAAGTGAAACCTACAAGCTTCGCGTTTGGCGACGTTGGTTCCAAGTGCGCGTTTGCATGTGAACGATCCAGGGCATAAAATGGCATGTTAACTGGGAGACACAAGTGTCGCCCAGAGCTAAGATTTTGTCGCCCAGTGGCTATGGATGGTGCGGCATATTTTTTTTTATGATTCTCATTTTAAATGTAGGCTACAAGTTATTGATTTGAAAAGTACCGGTACCTACCGGTATTTAAAAAATAACATTCTGTAAATATTTCTAGAATTTGTAATTGAGTAAGATTAAGTTATATGGACGACTTACAAGCAAATATAATCAAAAAATTCATTACAAGATATGTAGAAATGTGTGATTTTCACTTTAATTTAACTTAAGTAAAATTTTTCCAGGGGTCCCCGGACCCCCTTTTTGATGGGGCAACCCGGTAAGTTAATCCCGGCAATAATATTTTTTTTAATAAGCTTATTTTAACTTAAAATTAAGGTACTGTAGGCCTAACTTACTAGCCCAAGTTACTAATAAATTATATTTCTTAACTTAGGGCAATCTTTCTCTAAGTTAATTGGTTAGAGCTTGTATAATGTCGTATGTACATAGTGAAATAAGTTAGTAGCCTATCCAGGAAGTGTACAAGTACGAAGAAATGTCATTGTTAAGTTTCGTTGGAGATTTGGGGGGGGAGAAAGAGTCCAGAAGAATAGGGGCGCACGGGGAATACTTGCATTGGTGAACAGTCAGACTAGTTACGCCACTAGCCTACCCTGAAAGGAGTAACCTAACTTAGATTAAGGTTGAACTAGGCCTGTTTCAACTTGGGTACATAAACTTACTGTACGGCAGGCTACTTAAGTTAGGCTATTGACTTTTAAGTTTAATTGTTTTCACTTTTAACACAGTTTATTTAAATCAGCTTGTTCTAAGTACCTAACTAGGAACATTACTACCTGATTACCTGATTACCTTCCTCTTCACCAAGACCAGCTTTGCCGGATAGGTTGTGTCATAATAAAATACTATTTGATAAAATCTATTTACAATATATATACATACAATCCCTTATGCGGTGGATCAACCCTATTTATTCACTGTTTCAAAGTATTCGTCAAGGCTATAAAAAGGTTTGGTTACTAGCCAGGACCTAAGGGCAGTGCTAAATTTCTTTATTTCAAGGTTTTTTATATCTTGGGGCAAGTTGTTGTAGATCCTAATTGCTATGGTCGGGAAGGCATTCTTCGTCTTAGCAAGTCTACAGAAGGGGATGTCAATTTCATGGTTTCGTCTTGTCTGGTGTTTGTGAACGGTATCTCTGGTTGGAAACTTGTGGATGTTGCTTTTAACATATGTTGCACTTAGTAGAATAAAGTGGCTAAAGACCGTTAATATGTTTGTTTCTACAAAAAGAGGCTGGCAGTGGTCCAGTCTTTTGCTGAAAGTTATAGTCCTGACAGCCTTCTTCTGCTGCAAGAGTACATCCTTACAATTAGGCGCATGCCCCCAGAGCAGTAGGCCGTAACTCAGCACGCTATGGAAAAGAGCGTGGTAGACCACCTTTAAATATTGTGGAGTTACTAGCTTGGTAAGCTTGCGTAACAGGCACACGACTCTTGACGACTCTAGGCCTACTTATCGTTATTATTTAATTCGCTCTAAAGTGATCTCAGCTCCAATGGGTTTCTAAATATGGGAACACATAGGCTATAGGCCTAGGCATAAATTATTCATAAAGTATTTAAGTTCCTTAAGCTTAGGCCTACAGATACCTTCACCAGAGCCATTATAAGTGTTGTAAACCCGTTGTTAGGGGACCATGATGCGTTAATACTGGAACATTCTCAAATTTCTGCGGAACGTCAACTTCAGAAAGACGGCGAAGTATGGACCAGAAGATTCACGCCTGTTATGGTTGATAACCTTATTATGAACCTTAGCACTGTCAGTTGGGACTTGGTTTTTGACCCTAATTTATCTGCTGAAGAAAGTTTCAATCTGTTCTGGGACTGTTTTTTCTCTAATTTTAATGATTGTTTTCCTTTGGTGAAGAAGAAGGTGTTTAAAAATAGAACTCTCAAAAATAAAGTTTACTGGTACACCCCAGAGCTGGAAAAAATGAAAAAATTAATACTGTTTTATCAAGATGTGTATAAAATGTATGGTAATGAGGACATTCTTTTTTTATCCAAAAATCTAAAGGGCAAGTATCGCACTGCTATCCGAGAAGCAAAGAAGAGAAAAAACTAAGAACTCATCGAGAGGTCTACCAATAAGTGCAAGACTGCTTGGTCGGTAATTAACTCAGCTGCTGGGAGGTCCACGCAGAAAAATATGTCAGCGCTATCCCCTGATGACTACAGCTCCTACTTCTCCACGGCGGTGGAAGAAATCTGTGAGAAAGTGAATGTGTCAAAAAGCAATGCTCATCAAATGGTGGCAAAAAGTGCTCAACCTGTGTTTGATTTTAAATTCACAATGGTATCAGAATTAGATATTTTAAATGTGATTGTGTCGTTAAAAAATTCTGATACTAGAGATGCGTATGGGTTAACGAGTAATTTATTGAAAAATGTTTGTTCTGTTATTTTAAGTCCTTTCACTTATTGTATAAATCGCTGTCTCATAGAGGGTGTTTTTCCATCTTTTATGAAATTGTCAAGGGTTGTCCCGGTGTACAAAAAAGGGGACAAAAATTTGCCTAGCAGTTACCGACCCATTTCATGTATTTCTACAATGGCTAAAGTTATGGAAAAAATAGTCAAAAACCAGGTATGTAATTTTTTTGAACATAGTAATCTGTTTAGTAACTGTCAATTTGCTTATAGGTTAGGTCTTTCATCAACTTTAGCGGTGGATCATGTTGTAAATAATCTTTTTAACGCTTTAGAGGATAGGTGCTTTGCTCAGATCACCTTATGTGATCTGAGTAAAGCGTTTGACTGTGTTAATCATCCCATTCTTGTAGACAAATTAGCTCATTATATGGTTTTCAAGGCTGTGAATTAGATTTATTTGTGTCATATCTTAGTAATCGTAGGCAAATGGTTGAGGTCAATGGTATTACATCGCAAGTCACTCATGTTAATTTTGGAGTTCCGCAAGGTTCAATTTTGGGCCCCATCTTATTTTTAATACTTATGAATGATCTATCTGTTAATGTTTCTTGTAGTGATGTCACAATCTATGCAGACGACACAACACTGTTCTGTAGCACAGTGACTTAGGGCAGTTGCACTGCCTATCAGAAAATGCCTTAGGTGAATCGACAGAGTGGTTCTCTGCAAATGGCTTGCTTTTAAATGTTGACAAAACTGACAATTTATTGGTTTCAACCCATGACATCTGTGATTTTAGTTCTGTTAAGCTTTTAGGTATATATATTGACAATAGGCTGTCTTGGCAGCATCATATTGATTTTATCTGTACAAGGTTATCCAGAGTCAAATGTTTATTAAGCAGTTTAAGGAATCATGTCACTAATAGCTATTTGAAATTAGCCTATTTTGCATTTTTTGAGAGCATCATAAGATTTGGTATTGTGATTTGGGGTAATGGAGTTGGTATTGGTAAGGTGTTATTGATACAGAAAAAAGTCATTAGAATTGTTACTGGTGCCAAAAGATTAGACCATTGTAAATCTCTGTTCATAGAATCTAGTATATTAACTGTTGTAAATCTGTATATTTATGAAGTCTCCATTTTTGTGAAAAAGAACTCAAACAAACATGTTTTAAGAGGAAATGTCCATAGCCACTTAACTAGAAATAGAAATTTTAGTGATGTAAGTAGAGTAAGACTGTCTAGATCTCAAAACTATCATACCCACTTGGGGATCAAAATATTTAACATGTTTCCAGTTGATTTTCGTGCATTGCCCTTAAATGAATTTTCAAAAAAACTGCTCTCTTGGTGTAAAGCTAATCCTATGTACAAGTTAAGTAATTTCTTCAATTTACAATTTGTAAACAAAGACTTAAATTTTATAGTTGTTTATAAATAATGTTTCTATTGTTTAGATTGACGATGTCTATTGTAATTCTTGTGAATTAATTAATGACTAATAAACTTGTCTATTGTCTATAGGCTAGCCTATTTATTTATTCATACAAACTGCAAACGCCAATTTACGGCAAGCATGCTTAACTTAGGCCTAAACTTAGTTGATATTTATTAATACCTACTGTAAGTTTTAACTAGAGTTAGCCAAGTAATTGAGCCGAATAGCTCTAATAATTAAAAATACACAGAGAAGCCTGTTACCACTAAATTATAGGACTACGGTATAGAGAATTTGATTGCTGACCACCTTACCATGGATCGAATTCATGGATTATGCTCTCAAATCTGATTACAGCAAAAAGTCTAGATGCGAATCCAGAAACCCATGCTAACAATAAAACCGTAAATGTAATTAAACTTTTCCAACCAGCCGGGTTGGAAAGTAAAGACTTCATAACTACTTTAGCACCTAAATAAATCGGACAATGCCGTGATGATAAAACACAACAAACTGAAACTGAATGAAACACCACTCTAGTTCTCTAACCAACCAGCAGCGGCCACCACAACACACAACACAACACAGTGAAGCCGAAGCGTAGCATCTTTAGCAATTTGCAGCAGTCAGCAGCAGCCGGCACCGTCTGTCGTCAGCCTTTTTCGAAGTCACGTCATTGGGTACAACCAAGCAAGCGCTGTGGTAGTGTAGTGTAGTGTGGTGGTTTCATACAGTGGGAAAGGAAATCACATTTATTCACATAATAACGGGAATGTTTATTATAGGAAATGTTAAACTGGTCTTTATGATTGAATACGCCATTATTCATACTAAGCCCTTCAATATAGTCACACTATTATCGTACAGTATAACAAATAGACCTCTTTAAACACTATAGATTAATAATAACAGTATATAAGCATAATACAATTTATGCTATGTCAATACTCAATCAAGAATCAAGAATTTTTATTTCCACAAAATGCAAAGGTTACATTACTGGAAAAATTCAATTTAAAATAAGAAAAGTACAAGATTTCTTACCAATATAAAACAATTTCCTGAAACTCTCCATGCAGAGAAAAAAAACAGCACACTTTACTGTTTACTCGTTTCAAAAATAAAAAAAATTCTACTTAAAAAGTCTTCGTTTAGATAAAAAAAATTCTTTAACCTTGTAAAAAGGGTTTGCCAAAAGGAGCCCCTCAACCCCTTGCTGAATTTTGGGTCTGGCAGGTTCCGAGCTACAAGATGAAGAAGGCTGAGCTCTACCCGTCTGGCGCGCGCAAATGCAAGGGTTTTAGTTCTTGCTGTTTGTAGCCCCATTTGTGAACCGATTTAAAAGCTCTTTGTGTCATATTTTTCGTTAAATATTATTGTAGTTTTGCCGGGCTTTTTTTATTTTGATAATTTAAAAAAATTTTGGGCTCAAAGGTTGGTAAAAATGTTAAAATACTCGTTTTTTATCACACATACAAATTTAGAGAAAAAATAAAATACCACCGCAGCAGCAAACCTGCAGACGAATTTCAACTTATCTTATTACATTTTTACTAAAATATTTCTATAAATAAGACATATGCATTCCCAATTTAAATAACATTAGATTTAACGAGTGCTTAGACTTGCTTCTACAGGGAAGGAAAAAGGGTTTTTTGATAATACGTTAATAGTAAAGATGAAAAAATAAATTTGCCAAATTTTATCAACATATATCCATAAACAAGTAATCTACAACTGTTTTCACTTTCTCCTTAAGAATAACATGGGAATTTTTAATTACACTTTTTCCTAATTTTCTCCATGACCGTTAGGCATATAAAAACGCTTTAATATACTAAATTATTTCTTTTTTAAGCTCTACAAAATGGTTTAGAAATAAATAGCAAATCTGTTGGTTTTTAGGTTCAAAAATGGGAAAAATCATATTTACCCCATAAAACCACCCATAAACCCCTGTTCCCATGGCCCAATTATGCTGATTTGTGATCTTGTTTGAATAAACGTAGGTCTTCACGTTTGTACCAAATTTCATCAAAATCTGATAATTTTTGCTCAAGTTATCGTGCTAACGGACACATACACAGAAAACAAAAGGTTTTCTCTTGAGATCTATTGCAGGGCAAAAATTTAAGAGTTATTTTCAGAGTTTGGTTTACATTTAGTTTTGGCTGTATGCAATCTATTTACCAACCGATTTTAATAAGTTATACTCTAAAAGCTACACTACACAATTACAATTACATGAAATATAGAACAATAAATCATATTTCTACAATATCTCCCATTTATTTTCCATACTAAGAGTTACCCATGTTGGAAAACATCTAGACTCGTAACCTTCAAAACTGAAATATTTCTTTAGATTTATGATATGAATGAGTTAAGCTTATCCCTTATTTGCTTCAAATAATATATGTTTTAAACGTAAGTAGTCATAAAATATAATAAACGGTATCAGCATTCTGACACATACTTTCTCCCATAAGTTTGTCAACAACCTTTATCATGTGTAAGCGGTGAGAATAAATATGCGGAAATGGGATTTGTAAAATGTTGTTCAGAATTTAAATGACTATAAAATACTAATTTTTATCAAAATTGTTCGGGCCATTTTTGGGAAATTTGACAACTAACTTTTTTTTACAGTACACTTTTTTTAAAATAGCAAAAATTTTGAAATTGAAAGTACGTGAAACAGTCTCAAAGTGTCAAGAGCCAGGAAATTTAAGTATCTGTGACTTATAACCATTCATTTCATAGTATGTTATTTAAAAGCTATTTTATTTAAAGCTATGTTATTTAAATTTAGTGAGTCGGTGGATCAGTCGGTAGCGTCGCGGACTTCGGGCCCAAGGCAGTAGTGTCGTGGGTTCGGATCCTGGTCACTGCCGATAACATTTTATCAGTACAGGTCACCTTTGTACTGTACCGGCTCACTCCTTGCTTTGCTGTAAACGATCCACGCACGGGCGCTTAGTCTATGTGGACGGGCAAATGCAAGGTTAAAAGAGGCCGCCAACCTCTTAAAAAAAAAAAGCGTTTGGCAAATTTTAAGCCTTTTGAGCACCAAAAAATTTCCATAAACTCTTATTAATGGATACATATGACCTTTAAAGATTGAAATTGTGTATAATCTGCTCTTAAATGATTTAAAGTATAGAAAAATATCCCTTGAACACCACTCATGAACTATTTGGAACTTTAACAAAGCATTTCTAACGCTGGACTGCGATATTGGCTACATTTCATGTCTAAATGTGGGGCCTTGAAGTGAACTGATGATTTTTTTAAACTGTTCACCACATATTTGGGTTAGGATGGTTTAATTGAAGGAGTGTACATTTAAAAAAAAAAAACAAAGATTTTACCTTTTGAGATCCATTGAAGGGCAAAAACAAAAACTTTTAGAGATAATTTCGGAGTTTTGGTAGATATATTTAGTTTTGGCTGTACACAAGTTATTTTACCTAGGTTTGCTGCTACAAGGAAACTAATTAAGTGTATTTTTTAGTAAAATACTCATAGCTTAGTATGAAATAAACAAAATTGCCAAGTTCGATGAAAATATATCCGTTAAGCGACCACGACATTTTACAATACTCTCCATAAGAATAACATGGGAATTTTAAATTTACTATTTTTTTAAATTTTCTCCGTGATCCATTACCGTTCAAAAACACTTTTATATACTAAATTATTTGTTTTTTTTAAGCTCTTTAAAAAGGTCTGAAGAGAAATTGGGAAATTTTGTGTTTTGAGAGTTAAAAATGCAAAAAACCATTTTTTACGCCATAAAACCCCCCGTAAAACCCCGTTCTCATGGTCCGATTATGATGGCTCGCGAACTCGTTCGAATAAACGTAGGTTTACACGTTTGTACCAAATTTCATCATAATCGGATCATTTTTGCTCGAGTTATCGCGCTAACGGACACATATATAAATATATTTGAACGGATGGTGTTTTTGACCTCTGGGGACCTCAAAACGAAAAAGTAAATCGGTCCCGGGTCCAGGTCTTACCATGAGACCTACGGTAATAGCTTATTCTCTATATGGGAAATTCGCTAAAACGGGAAAAGTGAAACAGATTCTTTTAAACAAGAATCTGCAGTTAGTTTATTAAAAACTGTAAGGATAACGATGGAATCACCCAGATTCGAAAGGCTTGCAAGCTTTCTTCATGGCCCTGTTCAATGCAATGGTATAGGGACGTCGGCGTCCAGCAACCTCGTATTGAGATAGCATCACTCATCAGAGCTGAGATAGAGCGCCCCCTTAAAAAAACTTGTGACTAAAGGACATCATTTGACATCTGAACCTTACTTCCGGCAATGCTGATATCAATATCCGGCAATGCTTATATGGGCGCATATGGTGTGCATGCAACGATGTAAAGGGGGTGCATGTATGCATCTTCTATATTGATTCATTGTGTTAAGTCCTATAAACCATGGATAAAACATACTCCCTTAGTAGATTTCCATCCTTATGGAACAGCTGATGCTAGTTTTTCGTTAGTTCTGTCCGGAGTCCGGTGCACTGTAGATGTCGTGTTTTGTTTACAATTTGTTTCTTGTTATTTCAGTCATTCAAAACCTGGTTTAACCAAATAATAATACGATCTAATCATAAACAATAACTCATCCTCTAGTTATATAACCAATCAGTAAAGCACAAAATATAACTCTAAAATAATAGAAACCAAATTTTGTCGGCACTGACCACCAGTGTCACCGGACATGAACTAGACACGAAAACGAGCTTCAAAATTTACAATGGGGATGGAAGTATGTACTGGTGTTGGTTAGTCTAAGCTAATACATTATCAATCAATTCAATTATCAATTACGACAGTGGTTACGATCGTGTGGTCGGGTTGGCATTAATGTGAAAAACGCACGGGTCTGTTCGGAACATTTTACTGAGGACAATTTCGTAACACCTTTAAAATTCGTAACCGCATTTTAAGAAATCGGATAACAACTTAAAATGGATTGACAAACCCTTTTCTAAAACTGAACTGAACAACGTTAAACTTTCATTTTATTGTATAAGTGACTGTTAAAAGTGTCGAATTCATTATATTGTGGTTATAAAAGTGAACAACTTATCATTAAAATAGAGTTCATTTTAGTTGTTAAAGGTTTAATTAAAAATTAGGTTTATTGTTATAATTGAACTAGGATACAAAACATAAGACAAAATACCCTAAGTCATGGCATAAAAAACACATTGCAGTACTGTACAGTGTGTGATAGTTGTAGGCCTACAATATAGACAGTTTTCAATACATTTACTAATTAGTTATGATTGTTAAATTTCTAACTCTATGACTTTTTAAATATTTAACATTGAAAATTACAAACATTGGTATAAATACCAAACAAACTTTTAAACACTCATTTAAACTTTTTGTTTTCTTACAGGCTCGTCTACTTTTTTAACTTCTTTAACTTATTTGTAATTTTTTTCCTTCCTTCCTCAAATGCAGCAGAGTTTGTGTCGAGGTGCTTTATTCGTATATAAGTTCTAACTTGTATCAGTCGTAACACCGCTTCATCGGGGATATTTAGGTACAATTCTTTGGTTTTACACACTTCATCAAACACT